GTTTTTTGACTGGTCTGTAACTTTTGAAACCGGCTTCGAGAGTAAGCCTGCGTACAGTATTAGAGTCAACACCTTGTTTAAGCTCGGCTACGACCTTTTTCAACGACACGAATGGTTGTTTTTTTTGTAATTCTTATGATGTTTCGATCAATTCTACAAGTAATCTTAAGAGAGCCTTCACCCAAATAAACCGTTTTAACGGTATTTTGTCTAATTATATTTTTTTATAAGCTGCGAAACAATAAATTAATTAATTTTAAATATTTTGGCTATTTCATTTGAGCACTGCCATTTAAATATTTTTCAATTCTTGCTTCTTTAAACTTCAAAGTATACGTGTCACGAGCCATGATAAAAACGTACTTCCATTACCTGATTTAATATTGAACTATTCTGTGTTTATGTTCTAATTTCCTTAAAAACATAAATCACAGCATAAAAATGCAAAAAATCAAAAAAATATCTTGCTAGAATGCACTTTGGTCATAGATCTATCATTGCTCTTGTCTCAGTTGCTATTGTTTTGCACAGCCGCATTTCGCAATATTTTATTATTTGTGTGAATTAATTAACCCATTATTTAGAATTGTAGATTTTGTTGTTTTTTTATAATAGCTAATACAATAACAAATAAAACTGTGTATTTAGATTTTTGAATGAAAAGTAAAAAGTAGACAAAAAACTTATTTATTTGATGGGCAAATTTTGGTTGCTTTTGTTATGCACAACACTGTATATATATATATATATATATATATAAATTAATAATTAATAATTAATATCATATATATCATATATATCATATATATCATAAATTTAATAATTAAAAAAAACATAAATTTAGGCATAATCTATTTACAGATAAAATAATATTAATTGCATACAAATTGTACGCACACACATTACTTACAATTTTGCACAACTATATTCAATGCACCAACAAAGAAATAATGCGTACACATTCCCTTAAAAAAAAAACAAAAAGAAGAAATCCATATACATTTGCTAATAGCAAAACACAAGCAGCTAACGCATAAGCAAGCAAGTTGCATATATTCCAAATGCATAATAGTCAAAAATGTAAAATTGACTATTAGCAAGCAATCAAAATGAAACCAGTTTACGTTTTTTGCTGTTGCTAATGCATATTTTTATTTCATTTTCATATGCAATGCGTTAGCAATTATGCAAGCAATGCAATTAGCAACAGCAATTCAAACCCTGTTAAAAATAAATCAAATATTCTTTAAAAATATTTAAAAATTTTAAAAACATATTAGGAAATATATAAGTATTATTATTATGTTGAAGCTATTTGAGCCAGTGCACTTGAGCAATTTTACTCTTTCTTAACTCGAGGTATTTTCCTCTTTGTGCCTTGACTGGATTATTGTTTATCACTTCATCAGACTAAGCTATAATTGACCTCAGATCTGCATACCTCCCCGAGGAGCCTGTAACCATTCTGAGATTTGATAACGCGGTGTTGGTAAGTCTGTTAGTTTTCGGAAATCATTTTAGGGCTCTATCCTTTATGTATTTTTTAATGAAAACAATTTTAAGATCAATCTCTCTACTTCCCTTGATATAAGCTACATATGTCATTGATAAGAATATGTCCATATATATCTAATATTCTGTGTGTGCTTACTTATTAGACAAGTCTGATTACTAAAGAAATATTACTGTCCTTTTTATTCTCACTTAAATATAAAGTGTTCTATTAATAGATGGGTTCATAGATAGCCTGACTAGTTTTGCTTTAGCAAAAGCCATTATATTTTATTTAATATCAGTTGGTTATCTATGAATACACCTGAAAGCAACTAAATTTTTTATTAACAAATTTCTTAAAGCATTGAAGTTTTGTCAATAATATTGAATAAATGTTCTACATATGCTTTTTAGAATAATTTCTACATAAAAAGAAGGTAAAATTGATTTTATAAAATTCAAAAATTTTGTATTAAACCCAACTTTTTGTTAATAAACATTTGCAATCTTCCAAATATAAAGAGTTTACCATTATGTTCAAATCTGTGAAGGTGATTTTCAAAACTTTTATTAACCCAAATCCTCCTGCATATGCCATAATGGCAAGTTATGAAGCTTATTTTTATTACGGCTTTACACTCATATGCATACTACGAGTATTTTACTTTACTTTACTTCTGGAAGAGATTTAAAATTTGATACGAAGATATGAATTTTAAGTGGCATTTTTAAGGCACTCTGGGAGTTTAGCGCGTACTGCTTCTTCTTCCTTATAATTTGTTCAGCTTACAGGAGGACATAAAAGTATGAATCCACATTTGTGTACTTTGGATATTGTACCGTATTTCTGCTATTACATATATTATGCATATAATATTGGTTGGATAATATTATTTCATTTTTAGCTTAATAAAACATTTTATAAATATTATTAAAAGTTTTGTACATTGTTAAGAATTTAATAAGCATACGAGTATATTAATAACACATATACTTTTTTAAATTTTTTAAGCTGATGCATATAAACAATTGCATTCCAAAGAAGATTTTATTAATATTTTTATTTTAAATAAAATTTTTTACGAAGAGGACTTAAAAGTTTTTAATCCTGATTACTTTGGTTTGAAAATTTCATACAGAAATTTTAAAGACTTTATGAAAGATAGATTAAATTTTAATAAATGGAAATACTGTGTGGTTTTTAAACACAGTAAAACTTTGGAATGGATTTTAATATTAAAATTTTTAAATTAGTTTAATATTTATAATTTTTAAATAGATTTTATTTCGACAGTTATTTGGATATTTTTTATCTTATTTTAATATAAATTTCAATTCTTACCAAGTTTTTTCCTTCGTGAACGAAATATTATTTAATTAATTTTAAATCGGATATTCTCTTGTTTTCCTTGCTAAAGGACCAAGAACATATGAGTATACCTTAGGATACTCATATGAGTACACCTTAAGATACTCATATGAGTATACCTTAAGATACTCATATGAGTATACCTTAAGATACTCATATGAGTATACCTTAAGAACTCATAAGAGTAAATCTAAGATACTCATAATGAGTATACCCTAAAATACTCATAAAAGTATAATCTTAGAATACTTCATATGAGTATACCTTAAGATACTCATATGAGTATACCTTAAGATACTCATATGAGTATACCTTAAGATACTCATATGAGTATATCGTAAGATACTCATATGAGTATACCTTAAGATACTCATAAGAGTATATCTTAAGATACTTATATGAGTATACCTTAAGATACTCATATGAGTATACCTTAAGATACTCATATGAGTATACCTTAAGATACTCATATGAGTCTACTTTAAGATACTTATATAAGTAACCCTTAAGATACTCATAAGAGTATATCGTAAGATACTCATATGAGTATACCTTAAGATACTCATAAGAGTATATCTTAAGATACTTATATGAGTATACCTTAAGATACTCATATGAGTATACCTTAAGATACTCATATGAGTATACCTTAAGATACTCATATGAGTATACCTTAAGATACTCATATGAGTATACTTTAAGATACTCATATGAGTATACTTTAAGATACTCATATGAGTATACTTTAAGATACTCATATGAGTATACTTTAAGATACTCATATGAGTATACTTTAAGATACTCATATGAGTATACCTTAAGATACTCATTTGAGTATACCTTGAGATACTCAAATGAGTATACCTTAAGATATTCATATGAGTATACCTTAAGATACTCATATAAGTATATGAGTATCATATATGAGTATCATATGAGTATCTTAACAGTAAACTTTTGAACCAAGTAAGAATAGCATAAGATTTTATGTTTATTAATTAATTGTTGAAAATTTTATTACATATAATTTATAATATAGTTAAAACTATAAGAGTTTTCCAGAAATTCAAAATTCATTCCACTTTTAAATTCTTTAAAAATATAAGATAATTTTTTTGGTTTATTTTTTTAATGTTATGTTAAAAATATAATTAATAAAAAAATAATAATTCCCTTTCAAATTTCATTTACATTGGATTAAATAAACCTCTTTTAACCCCATTTCATGTTACACGTCAGTCAAAGTGAACCTTAGAATTCGCAGATTTTGTAAATAATGGCAATTCAGAATAAATTAAATTTGAGTTTTCAAAACAATTTTTTGGGAAATATGACGAGGGAAATATCACCACAAAGGAGCACAAAACAATTTACGTAAATGAAATAAAATTGATAAAAAGTTGTTGAATTGAAATATTAAACTTTTACGGTTCGTTAGCATATCCTTTCGGTTTGGCCTACTTAAGGTACTTCCTTTTGGGCTGAGATGACTTTGTGTATTGATTTGTTGATCTGATAACTGTTGTATATTTTGTTTGCTTTCATTTAAATGAATTTTCAATCTTTACAAATAAATACAGGAGTGTAAAACGGGATTCAATAGATTTATGATATTTTTAGTATTTTCCTTTTGTTGCAAAAAAAAAAAAATAAAAATAACATTGTTTGTGAATAAAACTTGAATTGCTATTTGGAATAAACTTTGAACTTTAATTTGGGAAATTTGGAATAGAAAAATATCTGCTCTCTTATCTATCCACAATAATGGTTCGTAATATAATAAGAGATTTATATTTTTATTCATATATTGCATACAGTTAGGTTAGGTTGGAGTGGCCGTCTTATACACCAAAACCCATTTGAGCATATACTCGTATAAGAAGTCGTTTTGAAACCACGGCATATATGATGTGGTAAAATATATATTTATTAGTTAATATGCACTATTTTAAGTCAATATATACTTTTAATCTCTTTTGCAATGGATTATCTTTTGTAATGATAATAAAAATTTTTTAGAAGTTTATACCTAAATATATCTGTATTATTTCACATATGTTATTATAAAAAGTAGCAATTAATTTTAATACTAACTATAAAACATAGTCAGGTATTATACTAAATATTAAAAACTTACCACAATTAAAAGCACAAAATAAATCCAATCCCAAAAGCTGTGTGCGTCCTGTACATAGTACATAATATCAGTCCAGCCTTCAAGTGAAATTACCTGAAAATTAAAAATTTTAAATTGAGAATATTATTTTTAACTTTAAAAAAAAAATTGCATTAAGTAAATTTTTTATATATTGTTGTTAAAATCTTTATATTTCTTATTATATATCTTTATATTTTCTAAGTATTTCGACTTTGAGTTTTTATTTTTATTATAAACATTCACATGAGCAATAAAACTCTATTTCAGGGTTATCAGGTCTTTGTAGAATATTAACATGGCATTAAAATATATTACTTAATACTCGTAATTTATTAATATATATTCAGGTCAATTGTAAATCCAAAAACATTTCGGAATAAGCAAATTGTATTCACTCATTCAGAAAGAATAGGAGAAATAGAGAATGCTTTATAGCAGAGCTGTACAGACCAGATACGATCCCGGGCCAATAAGAGTCATTATGTAGATTGAAGCTCGTAGAAACAAGTAAATCTATGGTTTTTTTTGGATAACAATTAATATACGTTGATACTGTTCAATTTAGTTGTATTAATTTGAATTCATTTTTTTGATACCATAAATATAAAATAATGTAATTTAAACAAAATATATCAAGGAAAAATGTGTGTAATTGTGGTAGATTAGAAACACGTCGCGGGCCGTATGTGGCCTATGAGCCCTGCTTTGGACAGTCCTGCTTTATAGGGATATTCTACAAGGGCTTTCACAATATAAATTGTGGATTTTAATAGTGAATTTAAACCTTTAATGATTTAAAGCTTATGTAAAGCTTAAAAAATATCTAATTAAGAATCTCTAAAAAAGGTTTAACAAGAAACTTATTATAGTGGAACTTGTAGGTTTTGTAGGCAAGACGTTGAAATCACAAGCGTGTGTCTCACACTGTTATTTAAAAAAAAAAAAACAGCTAAATGGGTATCTTACATCGGATAAAGAAACAGGGCTTGATAAAGTGCGTTTAAACCACAACTCATCTCGGAAATAAGAATTTGAGAAACACTTTACATCCGTGAAGGGGATACAATACATCTCTAGGTCACATTATTAAATACCCTAATATAAAATTTAATCAGAAATTTATTAAAAATTATTTTTTCTTGATAATTCATGTTTATTTATAGTACAATATATAATCCATTATGTGGATTATTGTTGTTATCCTGTACTAGAGCACTGGAGTGCATAACTCAGTCAAGCAATCTATTTATTTTTCAATTTACTTTATGTTAATTTATAAATTGTAATCGGTTTTAATAATATTGAGTTTTACAATGGAATAATAATAGTCAAAGACAAAAGTCTCTAAGTACTTTTTTTCATATATATTCTATTAATTTCAACATTCTTTTAACTTTTCGATGCTTTTCTTCAAGAATGACTTGTCTTAAATCTCAAAATAGGCTTCAGTTTCGGCAATCACTTTATCATTTGGGTTAAATTTTTTCCATTGATTATCTGCTTGATATCCACAGAAGCTAAGTAGCTAATAGGAAACATATCTGAAGAGTACAGTGGATAGAAAAGTAATACGAAATGTAATTCATTCAGTTTAATCATAGGTTTTTTTCCCTCCAGACTTGTTGCTTTTGGTGTGGTATGAGCAAAGACGTAACCTTTATTAAAGCAATTTACATACAACACACAACTTTCTTATATCTTTAAGGTATTAGCTATCTGACACTTTACTTTCAGAACTACCGATTATGGGTAACACGAGCATTTAGCCCCATCGGTGTTTGTACAATTGTGACAAAATTTAATACACCAGTTAATAATAGTTTATTTCTTCAGGATTCAATGTTTGTTTTCAAAACGTATTTTTCCCCACCAAAAAAACAATATTTAATCAACCTATGAAATTCCTTTTTATCCATTTCTTTCAAAATGACAAAACTGCTGTCACAAAACTACTCTGACCTATGAACCAATTATCGGAGTATCATGAAATTGTGACATGTATCATTTGAATGGAATCATTTTCCTCAAATCATATGGATTTTGTATGGAAATTCACTATTTATATGATTTTTAGTTGTTAAGTACTTTCACATCAAAGTTTGTGGATTAATGAAATCCTTAAAGTTAATGGCCGATTTGAGCAGGGACGCTTCAGTAATTAAAAACAATGAAAAACAATATACTTGCTTAACTATCGTCCAGGAATTAGTGCCAACATATGTATGTACTCATTTATGCAGATTTATAATGTAAATGTGTCCACACAGTGCAAGTTTCTGTACATAAAAGCCTTTTAATTGAATTTTAATTACACTTGTAAAAGCTGTGGTTACATGTTTGTAGCTGTCATATCTTACAGGCAGAATTATTGCAGATGAAATAGATATAATTCCATCTTTGAATTTTATGCAAATTATTTAGCTATTTCTTTTTTATGTATATATAAATTCTTTAAAAATTAAATTGTTATTTAAAAAAATCAAAAAATTGTTTTAAATATTTTTTAAACATAAATCAATTAAATTTAACTAAAAAATTTTATTAAAAAGAATATTGTTTAAAAATTCAAATAATATATTAAATTCAGATATTAAATATATTAAAATAAAAATTATCATGTATTATATTTAAAATAACTATAGCGTTTAGTCACTGGTCACGTCTAATAAAGTATAAACAGCCTCATGTCCTTTACAAAGTTATATCCCAAATTAGATGAAACCCTAGTTATTTCCATGTTGGGGAAAATTGTATTAGGGCTTGTAGATTGTTTTGGCATTATGTTTTAAAACCAAAATAAAAAAATAAATAAATTGAAAACAAATTGTTACTATTTTGTAAAATTGTTTGCAGAAAGTAAATTACATTTAAAACTTTTTGTATGCGAATTTATTTCCAGGCATGTGCCATAGTTTACAGGTCTTGTTTGTACATTTTCGGGCGCTGCTATCGCAACTTTTGCTCTGGGTAGGTAAATAAAGATACACGAATTATACAGAAAATTTATTTAATAGCAATTAAAACCTTATATGTTTGATTTTCCTTGACAAAGACTTTACAATACCATGACTAATTTACTTTTTTCACTTATATAATAGAAACAATTAAACGTTAATATATTACCAATGTTTTTTAAAATATTCAAAGATATGTTAGCATATATCTATACGACATATGTCTATCACTAGACTTATTTATTTATATATGAAGACCTAATTTTGCATATGATTTGATTTGTTATTGTAAACTCACATGGAAACCAATTGATTAATTTTAAAACATATTTAATTTATTTATTTATGGGCTAATTGGTAAAGGCACCTTAATGATGACTATAACGTAAAGTCGGTAAGAGATTTTATGCAACGATACCCTTGCATTACTGCGCCCCCTCCCACTCACCCCTCGTAGGTAGGTGGTAACAATATTTCCAAGGTAAAGCATGCGGCATTAGTCGTAAGAGGTGACTAAAATCTCGGCACATCTGACACTGTTTGGAGTGTTAATGGTAGTGAATGAGTTTTGAATTACTGCACCCGACCGATGGTATGTATCTAGAACCGCGGGGGTCAGTGCCCGCATCTTCGACTATCATGACTAATTGACGTTGGCAGTGTAGTTAAAATTAAAACTTACGGGGAAAAAATGATTATATTTATTTACTTTAATTCGGAATGGAGTTACGTTCTAGGTACTGTGACCCAAAGATTCGCAGATCTTCATTTGGTATCATTAGAAATTTTATGGATAAAGGTATAAATCAATTTGCTAAATTAGTTTAACATAGTCTCCCATTGTTAGGTTAACTAAAATCCCAAAAACTATTACTAAAGGACGGAAAAAAATACTTACTTTAAAATGAAGCTAGATCTGTTCTGATTTTAGGATCAACGTTTGAGGTTTTTTAAGTCGTTAAGTCTATAAAATTATTTGCTTAAATAAATGCACTTAGTAACACATCATTGCATAAAGATTAAAAAAAAATTACTAAGTTAAGGAAGATACACCTATTTAAAATATAAAGCTGGAAGAACGTTTCTCAATGTAGGGTGTGCAATGAAAAAACCATATTTTAAAACATAGAACATGGTTTAAAGAAGAGTCAATGAATTTTTAGAGTAACTGAGTGTCCAACTCACATGAATTTGTGGACACAGGAACATCTCGGGCAGCTGTAGGACACTTCTCAGATATTGGTGTCCCATTTGCAATAGCTACACTGGCAATCTAACAAAAATATCTGAGCATACACAATTAAGATTGGGCCCCCTTGTCAAATCTCTAGAATGATCCGGTTTAAAATGGTCAAAAAAACTTACTAATCTAACAGAGCTGTGATTCTGCTCTGTGATCCTGCTTAGGAACTTAGCCAGGTTTATACAATTGTTATTCTAATTTATTTTTACCTACGGTGGAAGTCGTGCCATTCCGCTTTACTCGTACACTGAGCTGTACTCGGTATATGTGCAAAAGCTAATCCTGGCCCATTATATGAGCATAAGTGGGCTTTGGGCACAAGGCAGCCAATACAACCCAACCTAACCTAAAGTAACTGAACTAAAGTTATTAGTGGGTGGCTTTACATAGAATAATGTATTCTATGTAATTCTATATATATTTGTATACAACAACAAATCACATTACTTTTGTTGTTTAAAAATATTTAATGATTTGGAACCCTTAATGGGTTATAAAAGTTATCGATTATTGTATTAACTAAATTCATTTACATTTTAATATGAAAATTAGTTTTGGGCACATTATTATTTTGAACCACATTTTCTAATAAAAGTCATTAGAATTTAATAAAACAGATAAGTATGTGTTTCATTTGTTGCGCTAAATTAAAGTAATTTATTTCAATGCTAAAATTACAAAAGGAATGTATATGTTCTTTTACGGTATGCACTCGTAACCACAAATGTACTTATCCTCCGCACTTATAGCTATAATTGTAACGCAATAATGTTTAGCTTCAGTTGCTCCCCTCAGTACACAATATACACTTGTTAGGGTCTTAAAATGAAGGGCTTATTTATTTAGGCGCAACCCAAAATTATAATACACAAAATTAACATTTAATTTGTTTGGCAAAAATTAAAGGCTACATCGCATATGCTGCTCTCCAGCAAATCCTTTGTTATGCATCCTTTAGCCGGGTTCTTTCGTATGTTTTAGATATAATGCCGTATACCTTTTGTTAGTGACTTTGTTCATGTGTGTTATGTACATTGACATGGTTTTTATTTCAGTGTATTCAAGTCTACTATTTCAGCTACCAAATCATTGGTGTTGTTGTAATCCTTGATGTAACAGCGTACATCACAAGGATGTTTAGGTAGCATAGATATACGTAAATAAACAGGAATTAACATGTGCGTTCACATGTAACAAAAGCGGATTATTCTGATATTTGATAATAGGTATATGTACTCGTACATACTTAATATGTATGTTTGAATGCACTAATTTATTTTTATGTTAAACCTTAAAAGCTAGGAGATGGATAATGTACTTTTTAAGGCTCGTCCGTGTGTGTATGTATGTATTGGTGTGCCAATAAATTTTTGAAAATTTTCATTGAAAGTATTTGGGTTAACGATGTGGTTTCACATTAACAGTTTACTTAGCATAACTGTATACTGCGCGGCTAATGTTTCAGCTGAGTTAAAACTGAATAAATTAAAAGGCTGCACTATAGCAGCACTAGAAGTTAAATTAAATTATATTTAGTGAACGAATTTTTTTGAACTTACCAAAAATATTGCCACCCATGCCATGCCAATATTATCGAACGATATTGTGCCTTGAAAAGGATTTAGACCCATTTGCGTACAGAGCGAATAATACTGGTTCCAATTAACGCAGGAATGATTTGTGGGTAAGTTTTCATCGAATGGCAATGCTGAGTCTGTAGAATGTAGATACAAATACATTAAAAACAAATATAAAATAATTTGCATAAATAATTTTATTAATATAAAAGTAAAAAAACCGTGACGTAAAAGAGTTATTGTTTCTCCAACATTGTTTCACTAAATTACCAATCATTTTATAACTTATTATAATTTCGGATCGCAATGTTAGTACAGCGTGTGTGTACCGCACACAAGGATTAGATTCCGACCAATATCTGGTATGAAAACATTCTTTAATAAATTATGTCTTTGTTTCAGAAATATAGATTCAAGCATTCCTTAAATTCACAGAAAGGCTAACTACAAAATCTATACATAGGTTTATTTACATCAAGTACTGTCAGCAAACAATTGATATATGCATAGCTTATGGTCAGTTCGATGAACTTACCGAATCTATTACAATTTTATTTAATTTGTGAATATATACACTAATAGGTATCAAATGAAAATTGACTTTCACGGTTTGATATCAAAGAACTCTGTGCTCAGATGTATCACAGATTAATACAGTTTTTTTTAAACATTATAATAACAAATTTTTTGATGGTTAATAATTGAACCTATAAATATATTAAAATGCTTCTATACGACGCAAAAGCATGCAGCACTGGGAGTATTCGAGAGAAAACTTCTTTGTGAGATATTTCGTTCTTTAGGGTTGGCGATGACTAGGCATCTGAATAAATTTCGATCTGTATGTGCTTTATCACGACATTGTTATAATTTAGCAAATTAATATCTTGCGATGTCGCTGGCTTAGACATGTCGTGAGAATAAATGAAGATGCTCCAGCGAAAAAGGTATTTGAAGCGGTTATTGGAGGAAAAGGCGTAGAGGTAGACCGTGCCATCGGTGAAGTGATCAAGTTGAGGGAGCACTAACGAGATTTGATGTACGAGAGTGGAGAAGGTGCGCAAGCAGTAGAGACCCCTGGAGAGACATGCTGCATCTAGTTGAAATCCAGTAACGAGTTGTTATGGACATATGTGTAAGTAGGTATCTAAGTAGATGAGTAAGTAAGTGATATTGCAAAATTTTAATAATTATACTCGTATATATTTTTTTCTCTACAGAACTCAAACATGAAATCTTGACTAATATTGATTTATTAATAGAAAAATAAAGTACAAAAATTTTAAATTAATAAAATTTTATTTAGTTACGAGGGTCGTTAAGATCTAGTGTTAACTTTACTAAAGGTTTAAAGAATATCATATACGTATCTATAAAGATAGTCAAGCAGTAATCAAGGCATTGGGTACTTAAATGACCTTTTCGTGAATTTTCGTAGATTGCTTGACATGTTGCAACAACTTGCAAGCAAATACAGGCTAATGTGTTGCTGCTTGCCTGGTCATACTAGAAAAGATATCAATAAGTATGTAATCAATCTTGTAAGGATTAAATCATCCACTTATATCTGCTAATAGAGACCGTATTGTGGTACAAGTTGGTTTACAATGTGGTCTCTAATAGAAAACTGGTATGTCATCCAAAGAAATTCCTACTAGCCTGATACTTCTAATAACCGGTAGGCTAAATGGCTGGTTTATCCGTTCAATTACGATAGCATGTCCACTCTCAGTAGAACAGAACTGAGGTTTTTTATAGGTTTTTGTAGGAACTTGACGGATAACACAGTCTGCGAAATCATCTTAAAAAACTGAGTTTGTACGAATAAAGAGAAGATGCTATGTAAGATATTTTGAATAGTTTGTGACTAGGAAATTGTCTTTAAATTGGTTCAAGAGTTTTTTTTTTCAATTAAACCTTTTTGTTTTAACAGTAGCAGACATTTTCAAAAATTGTTTTAGGATGTCTAATGGCGTGTTTGATTGATAAATTCTGATTCAATATATATTTACTTTCGATCTTTTAAATTTTGATGTTCAATCAAACATTTTTATAGTAATCTAATATTTTTGTAGTTGTTTGAGTAGATATTTATATTTTTCATGAATACATAGGTCGAATCTAATCACACTTTTTTTTGTCAAGTCATATAAAATAGCTGTTAGTTCAGCATAATCTTGCTAAGTTGGCAAAATTTCTGCAGCGTTGCAAATTAATCTCGAGTGTTATACATTTCGCTCGAGATTAACCAATCGAAAATGAAAATTGTTCTGAAAATGAATCTTGTTTAAAAAAGTTAGCCCAGATGCATCAATTGAAAATGGCATAAGTGTGTAGGGGATTTGAATAGTATATTTAAAGTTTAAAAATTTTTGGATTTAAAAATTCCTCAAATTTACTATTCCTTGGTATTTCCATTTTTATTTTGGAATAGATTACTTGTCATCACAGGCGAGGGATCGAATGGTTCAGAGTGTTCACTGAACACCTTAACACAGCTTCCTTTTTAGATTTTTTTTATTAGGTAAATAATCTCGCTATGTTGCTACTTAACATTTTTTATAATAGCTTTTCCAAACAGATTAACATAAACTGAACCATAAGTTCATACAAAGCGTGCAAATACAATCAAAGTCACGGTTGCCGTTTTATATGGGCAAATGGTTCAGTAAAAACACTGAACCACGCATAGTAATTACACAGTAAAAGAGTAAATGAATGCATGAGAGTTTCTTACTCTTATGTAGAGGTTGGAAATAAACCCAAAACAACGTCATTATTGCAATTTTATACTAGCAAATGGTAAAAGTAAAGAAAAAAATTAAAGAAATTTGAAGTGAAAAATAATATTTAGAAATGGATAAATGTGTGATTAAAGATTTGATTCAAATATCTTTTTTAAACGATCTTCTGAACAAAAGGTTTTAATTCATAAAATGAATAGACCAAAGTCGCCGCTTTCCTACAGCTATTTACCATAACAACCAGGGGATCACAGGCTGCGAACATTTAAATAAATTGTTTTGTTGGCCTTGTACGCTATTTGCTTGTGGAAAGGACAAAACTCAGGAGTAGAGGGAATACGTTATAGTTGGAATTCTGTTTTGATCAAATCGCTACTGCTTGTCATATAATAGATATTATTTTTATTTGTGATGAGATTTTTATTAAAAATTATATTTTAGTTTTACTATATCTTTAGAACATTCGCTCAAGTCTTAATCAGTATAAATAATTGAATATAACTTTAATTAACAGTCGTGAATCAGAAAGCATAAAATTACTTCAATTAAGTGAAATGTTTTTTAATGAAGTTTAAAGAACGCTTAATAAGGACAAAAAGTACAAAAATAATTTCTTTCCTGTTTTTTCAATTAAAAATTTTAAAACTTGCATTCCGCGTCCTGGAACACATCTCTGAGGTGGTGTCAGCTTCGTTACACAAAGTACCAATTTAAGTTTTTAATGAGTTCTAAACGTTGTTGTAGCGAACATTTTCTATCATTTCCTGTTGGCAATGCGAAGATACAATACGAATGTAAAGTAATAAGATACATATTAATTTTAATTTCTTACCCGGCATAAGGTGCGTATTTTTGAACTCCGAAATATGGTATGTATAAGAATATATAATAAAATTTATTTACAAGTTTAAGTAACTAACCTGCACAGAGCATCGGTCCGACGCGATACGGAGGCAAGTCAGAGCACAAATGCATGCCGGAGTCCTCGGGCTTCGAGCAGATATAGTCCTGTTCCTTGGAGAATTCGTAGTAGTAGGAGACGCTATATTTGTACAAGTTTTTATGATTTTTGTTTTGTGTATGTTTTTGAGAGAATGTGTTTGTGTATTTAAATGGTTTTGTTTTGTTTTGTTTTGTTTATTTGTGTTATTGAGAGAAAAAAGAATAAAAACATAATTTAGCAATATTATTAACAGATATAAATATATATAACTATATCCAATACGTTTGAGTAGAAGACCAAATAAGTTTATATGAAAAATAATATTGTATATGCTATAAAATTAATTAAAATATAAGACTATGGAAAAACATTGTTAGATAAAGAGCGCCATATTAAAAAAAATTTATATTATTGAGAGTTCCTTAGAGAGATGCAAAATGCTCACATATATGAAATACACACGCTTTAATATAAAATAAGATAACAGCGAGCTTTTAATAGTTGAAAGTGAAATTGTTAAGATATTAATTGAAATTAAATTAAAAATATATTAATAGTTTATTATCTAAAATATATATATGTAAAATGATAGAGAGAACATTTGACACACACACATGAAACTTGAAAATTTTTTTAAAACCCCTCAACAGTTATAATATTAAATAAATAATTGAATTTGTTATTTAATTAACCAAATTAATTAATTAATTTAATTAAATAATTTTTTTAAAACCCCTCATCAGATATAATATTAAAAAAATAATTGAATTTGTTTTTTAAATAACTTTTTGGAATTAAAGGAGTTTTTTTCAATGTATATATGCAACGCTTATCCTATATATGAAAATGATCTTATCATTATTCTATAATTTAATTATCATAAACTCAATGTTATACTAAATGTTATATAGGATTGAACTCAATGTTTCATTATTGCCACTTTTCATGATTTCTGATATTTCTTATATGATGATGTATGGGGCACGATACTGTTCAGTATAAATTTTTTTTAATGTTAATAATATTTTTATTTTTTAATATAATTATTTTTTTGTTTTTATGGAAGATGTTAACTTATCGTATTTGACAGAACTAAGGCTATTTTATAATTTTCTTTATCAATACATTATCTTTATTTTATTTTTTCATTATTTAATATATTATTTTATATATGATATATAGGTATGCATAAAACCTCTATATGGAAATAGTTTTATTTTGGGTGCCATTCAGTTAGGATTTTAAAAATATATTTCTCAGGTACGGAATTTAATTATTTTTCTTTTTATATTGGTAATATTGATTATCTACTTCCTTGAAGGTAAGTTTTAAATACCTTTGTAAGAGGAATTGATGATTTTTCCTGCAAAAAGAAAATATCGCTTGCATTTTATCCTCATAAATGGTTTACATTTGGTTTTACTTTATAAATTTGCATATAATTACTTTATAGTAAGTGCTTAGTCTATTCGTTTTAGGAGCTGGTGGGTTACATATGTGGTTTTACTTATTTAATATACGAAACTTTTCTATCTCTAAATTTTAAAACTATGCGTATCAACTAAACTTTATTAAAATCAAGTTAAATAAATAATTTTAAAAGTGGAAAGTTTTTCTTAGAAAATATAGGAGAAAATTAACATAAAATTATTATTCTAAGTATTATTATATTAACTAAAAAGAGGATATATAAATAAAAATATTTTTATATATATAAATTTTTTTTTGTTTTATTTATTAATTTTAATTTTAGTTATAGTTTAGTTTAATATAATTAATATTTTATCATTTTGACAAAAAAAATTAATCAAGTTTTTTAATTTTGATTTTAAATATTAATACAGTCGCCGAAATTCATTCTGAAGGAACTCTTCTAACCTAACTCTTCTAATTTATACATCGAAATAAATACATATTAAAAAACAGTATTCTAATAGGAAGCCCTAATTTCTAATCGTCTTAATTAATTTTAAATATCTAAAAAATACTTATCTATTTGCTTCAAGAATTATTGATAATAAATAAAATTTGAATAGAAGATTAATATTGATGCCAGAAGTGGTACAAAGTGAAACGTATAACATATGACTAATCCATGATTTCAGATCCTGAAACAGTTAAGGAATTAAGGAAAGAATTATATATAATTAAAACATTGAATTATGAAAGCATCAATTTTGTGTCTGAATGATTATTCCTTAATCGGCATGAAGGAACAAACAATTTTATGAGAATTATACATAAAAATTGTTCTGGAAGATTTGGTTCCAAGAGAATCATATGTGGTAGGTTTCGACAAGATAAAGACTACAGATATTCTTTGCATTTCGTTTGAATGTTTGCCTAATTTTTTATTGTAAGCAGTTGACAATACCACTCCTGCCAAATAAGAATCAATGAGTATAAGTATTTGGTGCTAAATTGGAAACGTCAAAAACGTCTCATGATCTTGACAAATTCGTTTAAGAATACAAGGATACATATTTGATTTTAGCTGGAACAGAAAACATGAAATCACCATGATTTTGCTTAACGATATATTATTATTCGAATTCAATTTGGAAGTATAAAACTTGAGGAGACATAAAACTTAGTGAGATATAGGGACAGTTTTTTAAAAGTAGTTACTGAGGCAAATAAAAGTCTTACTAAATAAACGTTTATTAAAACTTTAATATACAATTAAAATAGACTAAGATTTTCATAGGTTCGATTAGCTTGTACCGGAGATTCAAAAGGATCCCCTTAGGTCTATTCTCTCATTGTGTTACCGTATAATGGAAAAACTTAGAGCTTTAAAACCAGCTTCAACGTTTGGCAGAACTATTATTTTAAAAATGCTTTTTTATGGGAGGTCTTGTAGTTAACCAAGATTCTCAAAAAGAAGGGAGACGGCACCGCGCATGTACTGCAGAAGAACAAAGCAGATAAGAGGCACTTTCATCGTCTCCTCCACAATAGCGGCAAATATAACTGAAGAGGAGATTAAATCTTCGATCATGGTTTCCTAATCTGCAATGAACTTTGAGTAAACCTACCACAAGACTGATATACTTCTGACTGGGAGCCTAGATTAGAGAATTGTTGAACTGTGTCGACATCTCGTTTAGTGATGTCAAAAACCCTCATTGATGTAAATTGACCTAAATTCAAAGACTTTAAAACAGTTTGGTTGCCTAATAGTATGGATAACCTTTTCCTAAGAGTACTTAAACTTTTTAATATTTAAATTAAGTGATTTTTATTTTTTTGTAATATATTGTAATTGATATATTATCTGAAGTGTATACGTCTGAAGTGTCTACCAGTCGTTTGCTATTAAATTTATTATAAGTACTTTATTGGGCGAATGAAGTAATCATCTTAAGTAAAACTAAAGATGTGAAAATAATGCCAAAGTATAGTCTACTCTAACCGCCGATATTGCCAAATTGACATTATCTCTGTTTCAGTATATTTTTTATATTTAAATGCAAAAAAATTTATTAAAAAAATAAGCTCAATACATTCGTGTGTCATTGGAGACTGAACCTTGAATCTATCAGTAGCTTTTTAAAAACCTATGGTATATCAAACTGATATTTTTTTAAATAATTGTTAGATATGGACCACATATTATAAAATTATTATTTTTTAAATTTAGCAGATAATATTTTCATTTTCTTTTTTTTTATTTATATATTATGTTATATTGAGTTTTATAATTATTTTATTTTAAATATTATAAAAAAAGAATAGTTTTAAGGGTAAGGCTTAAACTTTTTTATAATATAAACTATATTATTAAATTAAAAATTTCTTTTTTAATATTATAGTTTTATATAACAATATAGAATTTATACCAAAAATCTCAAACTAACATTTACTACAGATACAGCTTCGACTACTACATATAAAAAATAAATAAAAATTAAATCATATTTTTAAAAAAATAAACAGAAAATTATTACTGGTTTAAGACTAATTTTTATAAAGTGCTTGGAAAATATAATATATATATTTAACTGAAAACATGGTCTATGCTATAATTAAATAATCTTATTTTAAAATATGAGATATATATTTTATAAAAAAAATTGAAGTAATTTAGGTTCAAAATATATTGTAGTATTTATATTTAATTAAGAAAATAATTAAGACTACAGTAATCCCCTCTATAACGCGGTATCCTTATAATGCGTGTTCATAAATAAAGCTGGGATTTGTGCAGTTCATAATTAGCTTCGTGTACCTTTGTATACCCCATGTGCATATGGGGTATACGGCAATACGCCTAAAACGCGTTTTTCTATAACACAGAACCAATTTACCGGGTTATAGGGAGCATTACTGTAGTTTTAAATAATTGTAGTTCAAAATATAATATATTCATATGTAATTCATAAAATTATTAATCAAATAATATTAGTTCAATGCAGTATATTTTGTAATTAAAAAAAAAATTAAGACCAGATTTTTTATTTAAATTATTGTAGTTCCTACAGAGAAGTATTGACTAATTTAGGGTATTTATTTTTTTTTTTTGTTGCTTCAGAACTGCAGAAATATGTTTGTGTTTTTAGATTGTACTGTTTTCAGTTGATTATATGCAAGTGACTAAAAAAAAAAATATTTACTTATGTATAAAAAATTATAACTAAAAAATAAATTAAAAAATAAAACAAATTTTTATGCAGGGAACTGCTTGATGGTTTCTATTAAGCATATCAAAATTAATTAAAATTAGTAAAAATTAAAACTGCTTTGGAAGTTTTACTCTACAATTAATATTTTATTGGAGTTAGTATTTTGGGTTAGAAAACTTTAAGATTCCTAGTGAAAAGTTACTAAGAGTTTGATAATCAATATATATCGAATATTAGGTTTCAAAGGGTTTTACATTAAACTTCTTTTTATTTTTCTAATAATGTACATTATATACTATTTATAGGTGTATAAACTATATAATTTTGAGAGCAAAGTATACAATTTTTTTGTACAGAATTAGGTTTATAAGTAATATTTTTTTTAAAATTTCATTAAGGATCTTTGTTTTTGTTTTTGTATTTGTAAATCTATTACATTTTAAACAATTGTTGCTGTTGTTGTGTTTATAGTATGTGTGCTTATGTACTCACCAATTGCATGTTTCATTAAATGATGTTTGATTTTTTGTATAAAATTTTAAACACAAAAATAATATTTCAATTTGTCATAAGAAATTTTTAAAGATAATATTTCTGCTGTTAAAATATAGAATTTTGTATTTTTTTTCTAAATTTAATTGCGTGTGTTTGACTACAATTTCGTGTGTTCAAGAGTATAAAAAGTATCGATTATTTAAAGTAGTTATTATTATGTGCAATTTTCATAAATTAAAACGAAAATCATAAAAGTAGTAGAATAATAAGAATATAATAAGAACAAACTGAAAGGAAAAACAACAACATTTAGGCTACTAATAATTTACACAAATTCAAAAAAGTATCTACAAACACATTGAACTAACGAAACTAAAGGGCGGCTAGTAACTAAACAATTAGGCTACAAAATTACAAAATTAGAAAACAGAAAAGAAGATACTAACTACGTTTTAGGCTGAGGTTCAGGTTGTAGAGGTGGTGATAGCAGTTCTTGTGTAATAGTTAACTACTGTAGATTGTAGCAGCTACACTAACAGCAGCAATTTACAACATGGATTTTTATGTGCAACAAATGTAGAAAATAGCAGAAAAATTGGATTGTAGTGAAAGTATTAGTATTATTGGTAGCAGTTGCGACTACAGTTAGTATAATATATATTGCATTGTTCTATAGAGTAAATAGAGTATATAGCCGTATATTTGTATAATATATATACATACATACATACATACATATATATAAATACATTTATGCTCATATACAGGGTGTTTGGTATGAAGATTTGTCAGTGCTGAGTTAAGCGTAGTTGAGGTATTTTATAATATTTTGTTTATAGTGATACTGAAGTTTTTGATTTGAAGAAAAAAAAAGCTTTATAAAAGTCACTCATGCGTCATGTTGTGCTTATCTGTACTATTGAAGAGTTTGCTGTATATTAATAATATATCTTGTTGAAAATTTTTTTTTCTTTTTGTGTAGATCTAAACTAAAAATAATTGTAAATAAGATAATTATGTACAGTAGCTTCTTTATAAAGAAATCTAATAATACTATAGATCTGACAGATCATATTGATGTATTTTCCTCAAGGTAGAAATGCTATTATTGCCTTTATTATATCTTTATTTCTATCAGATTATATTATGTATAAACTGAAAATAATAATAGAATAGGTAATTATGTACATAGACTTCTTTATTACGAAATGTAGTAGTACTTAACATCTGATAGACTGTTTTTAAGACTATATCGTACTTTGTTCTTTAATTTAGAAATGCTATTATTTCTTATATTTTCTTTATTTCTATTATCTTTAACTCTGTATAAACTAAAAACAACGATAGAAAAGGTAATTATTTACATAAATTTATTTATAAAAATATCTAATAATACTTAACATCTGATAGACTGTTCTTAAAACTATATCGTACTATGTTCTATAACTTAGAAATGCTATTATTGTTTATATCATCATCCTAAACCGAAAATAATGATAGAAAAAAGAATGATATCTTGTTGGTGTATTTAAGATTCTATAACAAAAGTAATATTACCCTTTAAGAAGAGTTGAGTATGAATTAAAATTTATAGTAATGGAGCCCCTGAATAATGGATATAGGCATGTAACATACAATCGAACCTCTTCAGTTCAGTGGCATAGCTAGGTTTAGGCAAACGGGTCTGTGGTAAGCTGGATATCACTTACAAAAGTTTGTCAAATAGTCCCTAAGCTGTGTATATTTCATTTATTATATTTATAAATTTTATATTCATATTATTTTATGTTTTATCCCTCGATTCAACTGCTCCAATTAAAGAAAGTATCATGTGTATTTATACATATAAGACTATTCAAATTTTTTGTGTTTTATAAGTTTAATTCTACATATTTGTCTATATCTTGATAAAAGTGATTTTGAGGGAGCACAGATCTGTAGTAATATTCTAATAAATTTTATTATTTAATATTATAAAAAATATTATATCTCATAATTCTAACTCTTGGTATTTGTTTGGATCTTGAAAAAAATGAGTATGATAAAGTATAGCCGCTATATAAATATAAAATTTAATAAAACTATCAAAAATATTTTAACTTTAATTCTTAATATTTGCCTTGATCTTTATAGAAAAGACTTTTGTAGACTTATGACTGAAAAAGAATATAATGTTTTTATAGCGTTTATAATGAAAAAGATCCGTATTTATATAGATTATAGGTCAGAAACAAAACTTCAACTAAATCTAAAAAATATTTCTTTAGATTAGTAATAATAGGTATTCAAAGTTATATGGTTAGCCAAAATTCTTTTTAAATTATTTTATATCAGCTGCCAAACTGAATAAAGAATATTTGGTAACTCATTCAAGAGGTGATCAAGAGGATAGCTCCTTCCATGATCATATAAAGATAATCAAAACTACATAATACTGTTTTTCTTATGTCTTTATCTTTTAATAGATAATAACTAGAACTTTTGATGGTGAAGGTTAGCAGCTTTAGGACAGAAAAAATATCAGAAAGACAAGTATAAATTTTTAAGAAAGTAGTGGATTTAAATAACACTTCTGAATATAATATACTAATAAAAATATTTTTAATATAATACATAAAGTACCATAATTTATTTTTGGTACTATAATATTAATAAAAATATTACTCTTTACAGATATACATCGTATCATATAGGATCGTATCGATGTAATTCTATGTCAGCTATGCCTTCGTTTTGAATATTTCAAGGTGTACAATATTACTTCTATGTGAATATGCCTTTATTTGGATATAATTTTTACATTCTTTATATACTCACTGAGGTGCATATAAATTGTACATTAACTAACTTATTCTATAATTTATTCTTTTATTATATTTTTATTATAATTTATTATTTATTAAGTGAACTACAAAAAATATTCGACAAAACGTTACGTACTGCCCCATCCCATTGGCATGACCGTGACTACGCCACTGCATGTAATTATACCTGATAACATGATAACTCTAGATAAGTCAGTTTAGCCTATAGTAGGGCTTTGAAGAAATATTTCTAATGAGTATTGATATTATACACAGCTTATTGAGAGCAAGTATTATTTATAGCACTATATGTATTATAAAAGTGATTAAATAATTTTGTTTTGGTCACTTTATATATTTAATATGTATGAAATGTAATAAGATTTACTGGAACTTTGGAATATAAATAGATTTAATACATCCAAAGTAATAATACAAGAATATTAGAGGAACTCAACTGTTATAAATGGTTTATGTGAATTAGAAATTATTTATAAAAATTTAAATTATTTTTTTTTTTTTTAATGTATTGTTTTATTTTTTTTAACTTAAAGGAATATTATGCTATTTATATCTTAAAATTCTCTTAAACTTTAAAAGTAATATTAGTCCTCTGAAGTAACTTCAAAAATGTATAAAAAATATACTATCTCATAATTAGCTAAGAGCACTGACATTTACTCTCACATTTGTTCTAGACATTCCTAATATATTACCTAAAGATTATATTTAAATATCCAAACACCCTGTATATTCGAAATAAAAAAGTAAAAGAAATTCAAAAGTAGTATAAAGTTTAAACACTCTTGCGTACGTATTTTTTATATTTAAACATAAATATAGAAAAATAAATTTATTTATCTTACGAGTTTACACGGACTCGAACTCTGTACTCATCAGGAAGTCCCCTGTAAACAAAAAATCCCGAATGATTTTTCATTTGGAAATGAAAAAAATAAATGATGTAAATTTCTTGTTTTGTAATTTTTTAAAGTATAAATTTTTATGTTTTTAGTTTTTGTTCGTTTGATATTTTTTTTTTTGTTTAATTCACTAAAACATAATTATGCATAAAAATTAAATACAAATGATATAATGATGTTTAATACATTTATATAAATTTTTTTTAAATCACTGGTAATGAGTATTTATTATATATATGAAAAATTTGAAATTTTGTTGCTTATCCTTAATGTATGGATAAGACTTTTTTAATTTTTTATTTACCAATTTTAATTTTATGCCAATTTACTTGTTATTTATGTGTGTGTTTTAAACGATAATTTACAGTTTTTGTTTTTGTTGTTTCTATATATACTATATACAGTAAAATAAATAATTTTATTAACAAAATCATTTGAGTGTGGTGTAAGCAAAATATATATATATACATATGTGTATATGTGATAATCTGTTAGCATATTTACATTTCAAAAAGCACTTAAATTAATAAATAAAATAAAGTTTGCACAAGAAAATAAATAAAGTTGCTATTTTGGAAAAAAAAATATGTATTTATGCGGTATTTAATGTGCCATCAGGAGAATCTCTATATACCAAATAAGCACTCAAGTTTTTACGATTTGCTGTTATCAAATATTGAAGGATAGCTATGAAGCACTGTAGAAATCATCATATACTTCGGGCGATTTTTTTTCTGATTTTAAAATATTTAATATAGTGCACTTCATCATAAGATCTAACATATACATTAAGACCGAAAAGTTTTCGGAAATTCTCATTTAAAATTCGCGCGCTGTATATTTTTCGATATTTTAAGTTTATGTAGTTTGGCAGCACTGTCCTTAATTACTATGCCAAAAATGAGCGCGATCTGTCAGACAGTTCGTTTACGGCAGCTGTTGAAACCAGTTCACCTCAGTAGGGCGTTGCGAAAAAAACAATGGAAAAAAATATTGAACAAAGAGTTTGCATCAAATTTTGTGTTTCGAACGAAATTTCGTGTGCAGAATCGTTGCGAATGCTACAAAAGGCTTATGGGGAATCAGTTTTATCGAAAACTCAAGTTTATGAGTGGTACAAAGCCTTCCAGGACGGTCGTACGACCGTCGAAGACATTTCGCAACGCACTACTGAGGTGAACTGGTTTCAACAGCTGCCGTAAACGAACTGTCTGACAGATCGAGCTCATTTTTGGCATAGTAATTAAGGACAGTGCTGCCAAACTACATAAACTTAAAATATCGAAAAATATACAGCGCGCGAATTTTAAATGAGAATTTCCGAAAACTTTTCAGTCTTAATGTATAAATGAAATTATATCTAAAGTAAAGGATTATCCAATCCATTGCACTAACCTGACAACACTGCTTAATGGGCTTATATTAAAGAGAAATATCACAGGGTAACATTTGAACTGAAGAGGTTATAGAAATTTACTGTTTTCAAAATAATAAAGGTGTGACTAAAAGCTTCAATTTTGATTGTTGTAGACATATGTTTACCAACTTTTTTGGTATGAAGTAAGAGATATTAGGTAAAAATGACAGAGATTTTCAATAGGACTACGTCACAGGTCACATAATATCTTTTGTCTTAAATTTGTTACTTGAGAAATTTCATGGACATGTAGTTTAACGTTTTAGTGATATAAGTTGCACATCAATACGATGTAATTTTAAAGGCTCTTTGATAATAGTTTTAAAGGCTCTTTGCTTTAAATTACACATCTAAATTATAGACAAGCTATTGCCAGTTATACACCAAAAGTTGCTGAAAATAACTAGATCATGAAAATCCAGTCTTCGTCAACTATATTGCTAAAACAGCACTCAGATGGAACGACAAGGCTTTAGAAGGCCTGGTGCACCAGCACAAACTTAGCGCAAAATTATAGACACAGAACTCAATAATGCAAATTATAACTGGTATGGTATATGCCGAGAAGCACCCAGTAGAGTTAGGTTTAGATCTATGGTAGAGACCCTATGCTTCACAAGTGAAAGAGGATAATAATATGTAAGTAATTAATATACTCGTCCTAGATACTTGTATTCTATAGAGCTCAATAGAGTTAAATTTAGATTCATGGAAGACAGCAGTCCAAGATACTTGTATTCTATAGCATCCAATAGCATCCAAGAGTTATATTTAGATCTGTGGTAAAGGCCCTGTGCTTCATGAATAGGACCAGTAAGTAACTAGTAATACACCTATCGATACTAGTATTCCATATTATTTCAGCTTGTTAGCGTCAAGTATATTTAAATATCCAAAGCGATGTTATTGAAAGTATGAAGTGTATTTTAAAAAAAAATTGGAGAAAATAGATCCTCGGAACTCATCAAAAGAGACCGCGTTAACACTGCCAGGCTTACTGCAGTTCTTTCTGGTCATTGGTGTATAGGAACCCATATAGAGAAACTGCGTAGTACCCATAATCCTCACTGCAGAAGTTGTGAAAAGCCGCAAGAAAAAGAAACAATAGTACATTTTCGCTGTGAACTCATCAAAAGAGACCGCGTTAACACTGCCAGGCTTACTGCAGTTCTTTCTGGTCATTGATGTATAGGAACCCATACAGAGAAACTGCGTAGTCCCCATAATCCTCACTGCAGAAGTTGTGAAAAGCCGCAAGAAAAAGAAACAATAATATATTTTCGCTGTGAACATATAGCTTTGGCGTCCAGAACTTATAGGTTCTTAGGAAGATACTTTTTTGATAGAAGGACGTATTAAGTGATATAAATTCGGCGGAATGGATTTAGTCTCTACTCTTCTATGCTAGGGCTGTTGCGAGAAATGTAGTAGCAAAATGGCGAAAAATTGCTAATTGTGGTACATGAATCATTTTGGAATTTCAAATAAATTCCAGTTTTTATCAAATCTACTAAGAAACACTTTCCTTCTGCATTCTCAGTCAAATATTTCAATACTGTCGTTTGGTATAGTTTTTTCATTGTGTGTTAGCAACTTTATTAAATAAAAAAAATACAAAAATAATTGAAATAAAATTAAAAATAAAATATATATATATACAATACTATACATAATTGTTTTTGTAACTGATGGTTAGTTTTATTGTTGTATTTAAAATTCGAAATGGGCGTGATTTGTAAAGGACACGCATGGACATATAAATAAATACAAGGGAAAGTAATTTTATTTACAACTGCAATTTATTAATAATAACATATTTGTAGGGAATATCTGTAGGTGTAATTATGGGAATGAAATATTAATATTAATTGTACACTAAACATTTTAAAAATAAATTATTAGAAAAATATGCACAAAAGCTTTTTTATTTACAGCAATAATGGCAGCGTATTAAATTATTAATTTCTTCTCTTTAATTATTTTCAAGCAAAAATCTTTATAATAAACCTTGTTTCGAAATCGCAGTGGCAAGGATTTTCATCTCGGAATTTAAAATCAAATTTTTATGAATTATGATTGCTTTTAACACTTTAGGATTATGAGAAAGAATATAACTTTTGATTAATGTGTCTTTGCACATAAAAGTGAATTTAAATATAAGCCGAGCTGTCTCATTGCCGTGCGATCAAAATTCAACTAAGGCGAAAAATGAAGGCAATCAAAATAAATGACTGCACTCCAAATCCCATCACTGCTGGTATATCCGTTCGATGTCGACGGGTAGACTTAAGCAAATACTTAGACCGAAACTGAGGAGCTGCGGAACTGGCAGTACCAGCAGTACCAGCAGTGCCAGCAACAGCGGGCGCACAGACGCCTAAACCGATTCCACAGAAACGTGCCATGAATTTTTGATTTAAAAATTGCCACTACTGACAACAGTAAAGCCATTAAAACCCGATATTAAAATGCATCGAAGGCTAGCAATATGAGATACACAATACGTGTTAATACATTAATGTTTATTAAAAAATATATCATAGCAAAATTTAAACCAATTAAGTAACTGAATATATTTCATAAAATCTGAATTGCCTGCGGTGTAATTTATTGTTTCATTATTGAAGCAAAATTAATTTCCATTTACATTCACATGGTTTAAAGTGCATTATTGAATTATCAATCATTTTAAATGGACTTTAGTATTTCTATTTCTATTAAAATATCTTTTAGTTAAAATTCAAGTGCATCAGTAAACTTTTCGCACTTCTGAGTTTTTTTTTTTTTGGACATACGGGTACTTAAATTCTTATTCTTTCGGAGTTGTTAACAGCAATTCTTTTAGTGCATTTAGCAATCGTAAAACGTGTTAACCCACACGTGTTAAGCATTTTTTACACCTACCGATAAATATTTTTATGTCTTGCCAAAAACTGTTTTGCACTCGTATTCCCTGGTTTAAGTGCTCTCATTATTTTAATAGTGCAAGTACTTGGCTTGCCAAGGATGCAGTTTGACTTAGTGGTTTTGGGTAAAAAATTTATATACTCTCCTTCTTCTAAGTCAGTTCACATTTCTCCTATCATCGTCTTGCATTTACTTTAAATTTAAATATATTTGTTTTTATCTGAAAAGTTTTAAGTGTCTTCGGTTTTAGTATAAAACTTTTCTTTCTAACTTTCATTGTTTGGAAATTCGAAATGCGAATCAAATTACTAACTGATATTGGAAATAATGCTATGTAGTGTTAAATGAAGTGGAAGTGAGTACTTAAGTTTAATGCACAATATATCTTTTTAATAATTTTAAAAACTTTTAAAATGCTATAATGACTATTATATAATTTCTGATTGTTTGAAAAGTAACTAGAATTGTTGAGCAGGAGATACCAGATACCAACACAATTTTTATCTAAATGCTGATAAAAATGTGCCCTGTAGGAAACAAGCGTGGTATGTAACTTAAAGTGTTAGCTTGAGGTATTTTTACATTTATACTTTTGAGTGTTCTGCGATGTTCACAATGAAAATATTAACTGAACAAAGAGGTTGCTTTAAGTTTTGTATTTCAACCGA